AATTATTTTAAAATGCCTATTCACCCCTCCTCTAGACGACATCCACGATCTTTCAGTCGGCAGAGGTTCTGGTGGCGTCGGCGGTGGTTTCGGCGCCGATGGTGCTGGCGGTGGCTTCGGCGCCGGTTCTCTAGCTCCCGACATCGCCGGCGACTGGCCCCAGAATTAGCTTCCTAGAGTGCTCTGCTTTTGATCGGTCTATAGTAATATCTAACATGATGCCAGTACGTTCTTCTGTCTAGGCTTACATGGCCGTATGGTTTCTTACTCGTTGCACTTTGACCGCCTAGAGTAAACCATGTGTTTCTCTTTCGGCATTTTCCTGATAAACACTCATGAGAGTCCAGGTACTGGATGAGTTCTCTACTTTTGTTCAGTCTACTGCGTAGAAGATTCTGTTAAGAGGCAAAATGTTGATCTTTTTTTTGCAGGTGCAAAATGTTGATCTTTATGTAGGAGATCTATCTATTTTGAGCATCGAATTTGAACATGGCTATATACTATCTATAAATATGTGTTTTCACTCATCACTCACCATTTGCTCTTGTTGGTTTTTATCTATTTTCCTCATCGCTTGTGCCCACGAAAGAGGGGATGGTTCCTTACATTATTTTTCGCAACTTCTGTTTCAGTTACCATGCACTGCAAAATATGGCCAGATTCCAGTTTTTGGTTACCTAAGTTATTCATGCAATCCAAATTTTTGTCCACCTAGTATGGCAGCATGTCTGCTCATCACCAGGTGCACCTACTATGGGAGCTTGTCTGCCCTGTACTGTTTTTGTTGGATTGTCAAGGTGTTGTGCATTTTCATCTGACTTTTACCCATGCAATCCAAATCTACTCAAGTACTCCCTCCATAAAGAAATATAAGAGCGTTTAGATCATATATTTTTTGTAGTAATCTAAACGCTCTTATATTTCTTTACGGAGGGAGTATCTTTGAAGATGAACAAAAGAGGAATTGTGGAGAACTTTGTATTTGACGATCAAAGAAAGGAGAGAAAGAGAGGCGAAGCGGTGGATGGTTTACGCCGACTGTCGGTACCAACGGATGGGGAGAGAGGAGAGGCGAAATGATGCGAAAATAGTAACTGTAACTGCAAGGGTATGTAATGGTGGAAGACCCACAACTCATTTGGATGCTGAGATTGGTGCACCCATTTAGAGTATAAGCCAGCCAATAATTTTCACATTTGAATACGTGAGAATCCAAACATGTAGTTGATCCCTCATGTCTATGCAACTTTTGTTAGAATCTGTATGGGTGGAGTACCGTGGCATTTAAAGCTTCACAAGTTTCTCTCCCACAAAAAAGACTACTATTAAATTTCATAGCCAAAATTTTGGAGATTGATATCTTTTAAACCATAAATCCGATCGGTGCTATTTTTATATATTTGAACTACTCGCACCAAGACCTTTAAAATAATACCAATACCGGATACATTTCAACTAAATTTTATTTTACCAATTTCAAATAACATATTTCACTCGTCTAAAAAAGATGATTTCACTCAATTCAAAATAATAATTAACTAATTTCAAACAAATATTTCACCCATTTCAAAATATGATTGCATCATTCAAAACAAGATTTGATGCATTTACAATAACACATTTCACTCATTTTTCAAAACCGAATTTACTCATAAAAAACTGATTTCACTCACTTTAAATGATTGGATACTTTTGAACCAAATTTCCAAATTAGAAACTATTCATATATTTGAATTAGGACAAAAAAGACCTATAAAACAATAACGATCCTACATATATTTTTAATAGTTTAAAATTTATAGTTTTCACAGTTCAATTCTAGTTATATTTCACAAAACCAGTTTCAAACATTTAGACAATCAACTTCTCATAATTGAAATAACACGTTTCACATATTTCAAAAATTGATTTAAATTATTTCACTCGGTTTTAAAAACTATTTCACTTATTCCAAAATAAAAAACAAATTCCACTCGTTTCACTTTAAGAAAAAACAGTTATTTCAGAATTACTCGTTAAAAAACAATAATTACACTCATTTCAAGAAAACCTAATTTCATTTCATTCAAAAAACATATATCAATTATCTAAAAAATGATGTCACAATAATCTTTCAGTTTAAGAACATGCAATTCAGAAATTGTGTTAAAGTGAAACACAAATCGGCTTCACAAACACACTGAATCTACTTCATATAATTGAGAAATGTTGATTTCATATGTTTCAGTTAGCCAATTTCACACTTTAACACAATCAATTTCACGTATTTCAATTAACCCGTTCGAAATATTTTAAAAAATACTTTTTGAGAATGAATGAAATCACTTTTTTTCTCATGAGTAACAAAACACATGTTTCACAGGTTTATGGTTTCACTCGCATAAAACTATCAATTCAAAAAATGGATATCACTTATTTATAAAATGATCTCATTCATTTCAAAACACTGATTTCATTCATTCGAAAAAAGAATTTCACTTCTTTAATTAATCGATGTCACTTATTTTAAAACATCGATTTTGCTCATTTGAAAAATAATTTCACTCATTTCAGAAATACGATTTCACAAATTTCAGGTAACATATTTCACTAAAGTAGGTGCTGATTGAAATGTTGAGATTTTAAAACTCGATTTCACACACTAAAATAGAATGGGTGAAATAAGTAGACTGAAACTTTGAAATTTAAACATGCTTGAAAACTATTCAAGATTGATCTTGTTCTAAAGATCTTGGCACTAGGATTATCAATATATACAAAATTCAAAAACAAAATTGTAGTTTAAAAGCTATGAATGATTGAAATTGTCAAAGAGAAAACAAAAGGCACACATTTGTCTCTCCATGCCTTCATGTATGAGATGAGAGGGGGCGTTATGCATGCATCATATACAACATAGGGCCCACTTAGTGATTGAAGTTAAATCTTATATGCAGAAAGGTGGGGGTGTGAATCTACTTACTACTTGTAAAGGTGTGAGTTTGATGAATGCAAATAATGGGAGCAATCCAACCATCTATATCCAATATCTCACGCTCCATCAATAAGCTATCCATTACATCATCAATAATAAACATGTTGATTGCATTAACCATAATTTAGAATCAAAATTAATTGCATTAAACATAGTTATTGTTAAAGTCAACATTAGTATATGTAGAGTAGTGGATTTCTCACCGTTATTGCCGCAGACAGGGAGGTCGCCTCCACATCGAACCACACGTCCCCTCCGACCCCATGAAGCCGCCGTCGGGCCGCACCGAGTGGCCACCACCCAGCCTCCCCTCGTCCTCCCGCACCTCCCCTCCCTCCTCCGCCACCGGCAACGTTGCCGGGCGAAGGCCCTGTGGTGCGGCGGTGGTGGACCTCCTCTGGCGTCCCGAGATCTGAGGCGGCGGCAGCCTGACCTGGACCTCCTTGCGATGAGGATGGCGAGCAGCGGCGGCCGAGGTGCGTCGGGAGGGGGGCTGGGCGGGGGATGTGCTGCAGCCGGCGGGATTGGTAGGAGATGGCAGCATCGGTAGCCGGGCGCATCCCGGGCTCGATCTGGAACCTTTGGGTCTAGGCGGGCGGCTGCTGTTTTCGTCCTCAGTCTGCTACATCTCGTCGGCTTCGGCGATGGCTCGCGGTGGCACTCCGGATCTGCATCGCATCACGAGGATTACGGATGTGGTGGTCATCTCCTACGTCGGAGGTGGTCGGCCTGAGGCTGGGTGATCGGATCTCCAGATCTGTCATCTAGTCCAGGCTGTGAGTCGGGGAGACATAGTTGCCAGCGAAAACCCAGCGGACGGTGGACGATGGCGGCGTTGTGTGCCGTTACCTTGTTGAAGACATCGTCCTGTAACTATTGTCGACCCACTCGTGCTGCTCTAGGGGAAACCCTAGGATCTGATTTTCCAGATCAGTCGATGGCGGCACTGCGCTGTCGTTTCTCTCTTGGGAGTATCGTTTGCGGAGCAGCATTGGAAGACAGAGGCAGGAGGTGCAGCGTCTTCATCTTGCACGGAGCTTCGATGGTGACGTCAAGTCATGCCTGGCCGACAGGTGCTACGCGCGACAGATCTTCCAGAGTCTTCGCATGCGACAGATCTTCATGTTTGGCAGGTGCTACACGCGACAGATCTTTCAAAGTCTTCGCATCTGGATGGACCAGCATAGGGAGGGGGTGCCGTTGGGCGTCGTAGTGGCGTCAACGGATGGCCGGACTGGCAATGATGATGCAGATCTTTCTCCTGAAGATGGGTCAGCGGTTCGGTGATGATGGGGGTTTCTAGAACGTGTGCATGTGGTGTACGCTTTAGATCTACTGCACCGATTGTTGGTTCCGATACGTTATGTAGATGGATCGGCGACGACACCTGTTTTCGATATGGAGAGTGAGATCACTCCACATTATCGCGTTTGTAGGTATAAGTGGTGGCTTCGGTGACTTGATGTACATTCTTGTCAGACCTTTGTTGAGTAAGTAATAAAAATGACTACATGCATCGATTGATACAGAAGCAGGGGGTCTTAACCTTTTTTTTTTTAAGTACCCTTGCCGCTAAGAACAGTTTTCCGGAAGCGATGCTCATAGTCATAGGGGGCAGGAGGTCACTACAGCGCGTTTCGTCATTTGTCAACTTCCAATCTTCATTTGACTCTTCCTTGCCATTGTCTCCGGTGATCGCCGTGCCGTTTCCATCCTCTCATGCGCCACGTTGGCATGAGGCATCCCCACCGCACTCTCTCTCACCTTCCTCCCATGGGCCAGGGCCAGCCTCTCAAAAGTCGTCGGCGGTCGTGCTGCCGCCACTTTCCCACCACTTCCTCCCCCACGATTCGACGCATCCGAGATCCGACGGCGCGGGTCGCCCCACGAGGCCCCGACCCCTTCCCGTCCCCACCGTTTCTTTAAACCCACGCAACCTCCACCAGCCTGGCTGGCTGGCCGATCAAGCAGCAGCAACCTTCCGAGGATTCCCACCCGATCGTTCGCCGGCCGGCGCCACCCCACCATGACGGCGACGTCGACGTCGAGGGCTCCGCGGCGCCCCCGCATCCGCTCCCGCGCGCCGCCGCCCACGCCGATCCGGACGGCCCGTGGCGCGCGCTCCGCCGCGGCCGACGAGCTCGTCCTCGCCGAGTTCCTCGAGGCCTCCCAGCGCGTCCCCGCCCTCACCCTGCCCCTGCCCAGGAAGAAGCGCTTCGACTTCCCGGCTCCCCCGCCGGCCCCGGACATCCAATCGCGGGGCCTGCTGTCGGGCGAGGCGGCCGCCGCGCGGACGGCTGTTGGCGCCGCCGCGGAGGCCGGCGCGTTCCGCGTGGGCGGGACGGTCGGGGCCGGCGAGGTGCGCGCTGCCGTGGAGGCCGGGGAGGCGGTGTTCGGGGCGCCGGAGCGGGTGAAGCGGGAGCTGGGGAGGTTGTTCCAGAGGAGGGATCGGGTCGTCGGGGAGGAGCTCTACTTGCCATGGCCGGTGAGCTCGGAGGTGGATCGGTTGCTGGAGGCGGCCCTGCCCGGCTCGACGTACCGAGCGTTCAGGTGATTATTGCTACCACCTTGTAGTAAGTTTTGTCTCTGGTGCTGCCTCGTCTCGTCGTATTTGGAGCTACCGCTGGTCCGCTGCGCATTGCCAAACTGCCTACCTAGCTGCAGCTGACATGGAAGTTCTAGAGCTCCTTTTGGGCAAGTGGAATTTGATCATAATACTGTTCAAAGTAAAATTCCAATTATATATTGTCGATCAGAGCTTCGAACTGCCGTCACAACGTATTCGACGAAGTCGAATTACCAAACTATTTGGTGCATTGGTTCTTTGTTTCTCTGACACTGATGAAATAAAAGATTCAGAGCTTATTTTTGCTGAGGAAACATTCAGAGTTGTTCTGTGGAGTCCACGGGGGTGGAGGCAAAAATTCCCACGATATTTTGGTATGAAAAATGGAGTAAGCAAGCACTAGGAAGTACATTGATCTTGTATGGATCACCCGAGCTCCCAAACATGCATTGGGTGGGGAACACCGAAAACCCATACTCCCTCCGTTCCAAAATAGATGACTCAACTTTGTACTAACTTCAGAGGGAGTACATAAGAACGAAGAGTAAAGTGACACCATCATATCATGCCATATATTACAAGATGAAACACAATCCACCTTCCTTCACTTCTGCAGAAATGAACTATTGGCTGTCAGATCATTTGCCTAGGATCAAAAATTTCATGAAACCCTGCTAGAAAATAGAAGTGGCAAGTAATCTCCAAATGCAGGTGACAAATGGTGCATAAGCCATTAGAGTCTGTCTCTTAAGATGTACCCCCTCTGTAAACTAATATAAGAGCGTTTAGATCACTAAATAGTGATAAACGCTCTTATATTAGTTTACGGAGGGAGTACGCATTACTATGTTTCGCTACTAATGAGTGACAATTGTCAAGAACACGGAACAAAAAACTCTGATGCGTGTGTTAGGAAGATATGGTCTAAACATTGATCTCATATGCCCTGACATGAGATCTTCTACTGTTGGCAGGGAGAAGATGGACGTTATCGCGTCTAAAATGGAGGACCTCGCAAGATGTGTGGTCACAGTTCTATCTGACAACGTCAAGAACCCGAAAGACTCTGCTCTGCCTAGAGAAGCCCCATCGGTTCTCTGTCTAACGCTGTATAACTGCAACAAGTTGAAAACACGTTGGGGAGAGTTTGGCACCACCGATCGTCCAGACTCGTACGCCCTGAGCGTCCACCTCTCCGGACGCGACCAGCAAATTTGCCTCCGGAACCTGGGCGGGTCGACCTTTTTCAATCTGCCGGCTGGCTCTGCGCTTGTTACGATCGGCAAGCAGATTCAGGTATCATGCTAAACTATGGCATACTTTTCACTTACTTAACCTGTTAATAAGCTCAAATTTTGCCAAGTAAAATGCCTGTTCATAATACAGTGCACTATCTGGCCCATTTCTGTCCCAATCCTCTGTGCCACCAAGTGTGGAGCATGAGCAGTAGTCTGCTCTGAACAGCTTCGGCCATGTATATACGCGCTTGCAATATGTCTGTTCCGGCTTCCAGGTGTGGAGTATGACAGTGTGTTTGCTCTGAATTTGCTCAGGAATGGTCCAATGGGGAGTTCAAGAGCGCTGTTGGCGAGATACTGTTCGAGCTGACCGACGAGCCAAACCCGTTCATGTCTCTGGAACTCTTGTACTCTCCAGGAGACCTGCGTCTCTGTGAGGTCGGGCGGCACGCTAGCTGCATTGACCGTCCTCCCAAGACTGTTCCTTTGAGGGACCAGATTTTCATTGCGCTGGTTCTGCTGGTTTTGTACTACCTCTTCTGGTGATAAGCTTATCCGTGCCTCTTTTCTCTTTTTTTGGCGTGAGCTTTAGATGTACGAGATGGCTTGTTTTTATAGCCTTTTTGGACTAACTGCCCGCCTTTCTCCGTTAATTGATCACGGAGAAACACCGCCGCGGATGGCGGTGATGGCGGCTGGGTTGAGTCTGGTTTGGTTGAGATTGGTTTGTTTGTTGGATGAAACAAAAAACACGGAATGAAGTATAAGATACTTTGTTCTTGACTCCTCCTAATTGAGGAAAAATGGCATAGAGTGGATTTTGATTGATTTTCTGAATGATAATTTTGGCCGGTTGGTTTGTCCTACGGTATCTGTTTTGCGATTCGAGGTGTTCACATTAAACCTGAGAAGCATTCCTTTGTACCTTACTACTCCATTGTGTATGTGGTAATCTTGCATTCGAGCTTTGTTCATTACAAATGAGCTCAGTGTAAAACTGTTGTACATTGTACTGTACCTGATGGAAGGTAAGACTCTACTTTTTATTTGAAAGACGGTTGAAACAACAGGACTCTTCATCTTGTGATGCACATAGTATGTTTATTGAAATTCATTCACAAAAAAAATATTTATTGAAGTTGATATAAGGCAATGATGTGAAAGTCATCAATAGATTACATAGCATACACAAGTACGACAGAACCATTACAAGATTTGAGTTTAATTTCTAAGACTAAGGCAGGTTATACTTCTTGTTCCTTTTTCTCTCTGTTGCCTTCACACTTGCTATCACTTCAAACAATCATGCCTTAGATTTAGGGACAGTCCTAAAAGCATCTCTAGCCGATCCATAATAACTTAACCCCTACATCCTTTAATTCTTAATTTTTTTAAGGAACTAAACTATTGCTCATATAGCTCATTCCCCAATTTTTTTTTTGGTCAATTGATCCAAATGCTTGCTCAAACAATCCAACAAATGCAACATGTTTCAACACAAACATAAAAAATATATCAAATACGAACATAACTGAACTTCATCCAATCCAAGAAACAGCTAAAACATAGCCATAATTTGTGCCCAAAGGGGTGCGGTGGGGTTGGGTTTGTCCATTCGGCGGTCATTGGGGCTAGCGACGGTCATACGGCGGGGCGAGCAAAGGCAGCTAGTGTCGGGGATGAGCAAGATGG